TTAAAAGTCACAGTAATAACTGATTCATCCTCACCAAGTGGGGAAATTAAAATTGTCTTTTGTCACGATTCCTCTATCAAAGTTTCTTACAATTAAGCAAAAAATGTTGAAATCTCACAAGAAGCCTCGCATTAAGGAGGATCCCAGGAATTTTTTTTCAGCCTATAAAGAATAACGTAAAGAAGTGCCAAAAAGCCTCAATCCAACAGCAAGTATATGAACAAATTGACAAACCCAAGAAGTTGTTTATTTAAACAAGTCAAATCCTTAAAATCGATCGTCATAGTTTGAGCAGGTTCAAGAAGTCTCTACCAATGGAAAATTTATTTAAGTTAAGCAAAACAAATTGTTGTGCTGAGCGGCATATGAAATTCTCCTTCATGCATACAAAAACAAAAAGGAAACCCTGATGTTCAAAAAATCCACTTCTCACATCTTCTCACTTCCCAGTTCCTGATATGTGTATGCATCTTTTCCCCATCTTTTTTCTTTTCAATTTATCCAGATCTGCCCCTTTAACCGTTTTCAACTTGGACCCACTCACCCTTATTTAGCAAAAGAATCAATGTTCCCGCTATTTAGTTAGTCACTAAAAGTTCCTTTAATATTATCTATCCGTATTTGACAGATTAAGGTTGCAAGAGCATAATATAGCAGTAGATGCAGTGTGTGCTTAATGGCATTTTCATTTAATTTTCACATACGTGATGCTATTTTGAGCCATCTTCCAGTGTGTGATTGAGTATCACCTGCGGTTTGCAACCACATAAAAATTTGGCCTCCTGTGGCAATCACCGATACCATGAACCAATGAAAAACAAATCTAGGGAATAAAAATCATCCATTCCCCAATCAAAACTCTAAAGTTCCACTAATTATATTTTCCTTTTCTTTTCCTACCTTCTAACCAAAACCAACCAGTTAATTGATCTCCAAAAGTAGGCTGCATTCTAGTCGAAATTCTACTAGATAGGGAAATAGATTTTCACATTTGCAAATTCATCAACTTATAAAAAAAATTAACCACCATTAAAAAAACAAAGGAAAATGAAGTAACGACAATAAAACCAAGAGAAGAAGTTCATACGTAAGTGTTTAGCTGTCGAACGAAGCTCGAGAAGTTATTGTGCTTGAAGTATTTGGGCAAAAGGTCCTTCGCGAACTCCGGAGGGTCCCAAACCACGAAACTGTTGTTGGTCGGACTCCACGACACAATCTTTTCGGTTGCCGGGTCGTCCACCATGTCGTAGGTCTTCGCGAGGAACGGAGGCGGCGTGTTCGCGTTCGACATAGGTGCCGGAAGAGGAGGTGGCGGAGCGACACCGTCCCCATCGGTTTTCACGCCATTAGCAGACGATCTCATGTCGCCGTAAAACAATCAAATCAACGACCATAGATTAAATAGGGGTTTAAGTTATTCAAAATTAGGGTTTTCGAGGGGTTGAAATGTGCCTCACTGTCAGAAGAAAAACCCTCGAATATAGAGAGAGAATGAGAGATAAGGAGGACAGCGATTGTTTCGTGTGGTTGTACGGTCCAGGGAGAGACAATGGTGGGTTTATAGATAACGGAGACGACGGCGTTAACGGCACGAACCAGTCGGTTAACGGCGTCACGATAGATAAACGAGAAGAGGGAAATGCCTTGTTAATATGCGGGATTATCATGGGAATATCCTCTTCAATGGAGAGGGGAGGCGAATTTATTACCAAATTATTATTTTTTTTAAACAAAAATACGATTTATCGTACTTTTCAATTTATTTATCGATCTATTATATTTTTTAAAAGCGAAATTATTAATTAACAAATCAACAAAAACACTTTTAATACTTATAATTCCGCTTTCAATACTTACAACTACGCATTTAATACGTACAATTACACATAATTGTAAATATTAAAAGTGATCTTATTGATTTATTGAAAGTAGAATTAACAATTTCATTTTCAAAAAGTGTTGTAGATCGGTTAATAAATTAAAAAGTGCAGTAGATCGATGTTTTCAATTAAGTAAATGTAATAGTAGAAGGCACATCTTTACTATTTTTTTTTTTATTTAACGATCAGGAGTGTCCGAACCAGCTTATACACACTTCAACTAATTCTCTATTTAATTCAGACAAAGACAGATAATTCAAGATAAAAATAAGGTACATATCATTGGGATGTAAATTCGAGAAAGAAAAATATGTAAATGGGTTATCCATCGGGCTAGCCCTAGTTCCAAACAATGTGCAAGTGTGCATCCGTTACAGTTGTTATCCAACACTTGGTTTTGAAAGTTTGACACCAATAACCAATTTGGATTGTCTTAGGGTGAGTTTGGCAAATAGATTTGGATTGAATTAGATAGGATAAGAATTTTAAAATCCAATTCTTGGTCATCCTGAACAACGTGATGGGCTACAAATGGAAGGAAAAAGGCTTTTTGGCTAACAAATTCATTGTTTGGATAGGAAGGATGGGAAATGTGGGCTCCGTTGATTTGACCCATGATGTGAATTTTTATCTTTTAATTCTTCTTTTGTTGATTTTACCATCATCTTCCCAAATATTAATTCAATTCATGTGTTTTCTGAACAATGCAGGGGCATTGAAGTAATTTTGGTTCCCTATCCGGTTGTTGGCAATTTTTGCCATTTTGTATCCAACCCTCTCGGTGGGTTTAAAAAAACCCATTTATACTGGTTATCAATAATTGCAGACAGCAGGCGGGAAAGGGCCGATTTGAATAAAAAGGCCCGTTTGATAATATTATTTAGGGTTAATTGCATTTAATGTCTATAAAATATGAGATTTATCTTATTTTTGTCTTTAGTATTTCAGTTGCATTATTTTAATCCCTGAATTATTAAATATGTTTTAAAATGATATTTCAAACAGACAACGTCCAGATTACTAATAATTTTTTATTATAAAATTGTCACGTAATATTTAAATATGGGCAAAAAATATTTTGATAGCTCTTAAATAAAATTTTGGATAGTTCTTGACAAAAAAATGTGTAATAGAAGTAACTATTGATTAAAATTTGGATAGCTCATGATCAAAATTATATAATTTAGGTAGTTATTTAACCAAAATTTGGGTACAAATTTTGTCAAAAGTTATCCAAATTATTTTTTTGTCTATATTTAAATATCACGTGAAAAATTTATGATAAAAAATTGTTAATAACTTAGACGTTATCTACTTGAGGGATCATATATAAACATATTAAATACTTTAAGGACCAAAATTATACAATTGAATTATTGAGGATCAAAATGAGACAAATTTCATACTTTTGGGATCTGCAGTGCAATTAACCCTATTGTTTAAGTTTTAGTATTGAATACTTTAAATATTTAATAAATTAAATTCGTTTGATGACCTAAAATTAATATAATTTAATATTTTAAACACTTATAAATATATTTTCAATACATTTTACACCTTTCATTTTTCAATACTCATCATTCATCACCACCACTGTTACTATTGTGCCGCCACCACCATTGCGTCGTTGCCACTACCACTGTCGTTGTGTCACTGTCACCACCACTATTATTATGTCATCGCCACTGTCACTACCACCATTGTTGTGTCATTGTCATCACCACCACCATTGCCGCCATTGTCCGTCACCACCCATTATTATGCCACAACTATCACCATTATCGTCATCACCATTATGCCGTTATTGCCACAACAATCGTCAACATTGTGATGGTGGTGGTAGGAGTAAGGTAATTACAGAAAGGTGATTAAAAAATAACAAATTTAGAATAATAATAATTTTTAGACTACATCTTCTTATATTTGTCACACAATTTAATTCAATTAAATATTTCATTTTTAATTGATACCAAATAATCTGTGAATTAAAAAATTAAGTATTTAATTTTAATTATGCAGCTTCCAATTTTATTAAATATCAACTCTGATAAGAACACAAAACAATTGAAAAAGTCTAAAAGTGTTATCGCAAAATTTAGATATATAAGATTTGTACCCTATTTATAGTTGAGAGGCACTTTCATAACAGTCAATATATATGGTAAAGATAAATACTAAGTTACCCTCAAAGAGTAACTCAAGTGATGAGCTATAAATTTAAACGTTTTAAATTTAAATTTTGATAATTTTTTGAAATCAAATCATGAAAAATTTATTTATAATTCAATGTGGATGATCCACCTTTTACGAAACAGAAGAAAGAATTGTCAAAGTACATATAAAATAGCGCAGACACTCCCGACTGTTGAGTCAAAGAAAAAAAAGAAAGATGAGAAATACAAAGTCAAATAGCAATAAAAAGTGAGATAGTTGAGTTGAGTGAAAGAAAGAGTTATGACTAATTATTCAAAGCGATATTGGTCTACGTGTGTTCCGAGATGACTCTGATTGTGGGCTAAATTTCTTTCTTCTTTGGACTTGACTATAGGTTGGGTGAGGCCTTAAGGCCTAGGTGGGTAAGGGTTAGGGTTATCTCACATTGGATAGCTGTAGGGTGTGTTTTGTTTAAATGGATGTTATGATTCTTACACTTTTAAATGTGAGTGGTTGTAATTATCCTATGTTAAAAAAAAAAAAAAAAAGGAGATAAAGGAGTCTTGAGATTGAGTTTTATAACAATTCCTTGAAGTCAGATTATAAAAGATTTATCTCTCATAAATTCTCTAATTTCGATATAGATATGTATAAATTAGCTAAATACCTACTGTCGAAAAAAGAAAAGATATAGAGTATTATAATTATTGTCGGAGTGGACACCGACTCCCATCATTTTGCTTTATTAATAATATAAATTACAAATTTAGACTGAGTTAACTAGTTTTATTTTGGATGATATATAATGAGTTGCAGATATTATCATGTGATCATGAATATTTATTACTCCCAACCAGACTATATCAATAAATTAAATTAAAATATTATTTTTATTTTTAGGGTAAATTTAACCAGCACAACTTTATCGCACCGAAATAACTTGCAAGCAACAAAAGCCGATACGGAGTATTTTGGCGGGAAAGAAGAAGAAAGGAAAAAAAAAGCAAAGAAGACGATGAGCTCGTCGGCGATTGACTCAGAGTCACCGGATCTGGTGTGCCAACTGGACAACGTCCAAGGCATGGTTGATGCCCTCACCTCTGTCCGCTGGAAACGCCATCAGGTCTGTTCATCGTCGTAAAGTCCCACTACTTGCTAGAATTTCCTGTGAAATCAGAGATTTATACGATTTATCTCAGTGTTCTTTGCTACAATACGTGAGATTAGGACGCAGTTGTGGAACTATCGGAGCACGGCATCGTCCTGATCGTCGAAGATACCGGTTGTCTCCAAGCCAAAGTTTATCTCCAGCGCGAGGTATTGCTATCGATTTATTCTACTCTTCGAGTTCTTCGGTTTTTTGTTATTGACAAATTTGGGGAAAAAGCAAAATTGAAATGTTTACCTTGATTTGTTTGTTGATTTTTGTAGCTTTTTGTTAGTTACGAGTATAGTGCACAAGGACGGCCTCGATTTGGAGTAAGCTTGGGCCTTTTTGTTGACTGTCTCAACACATTTTCTGTTCCTGAACATTCTAACACCATTGAAATCCGGTACCCGGGGCCTGACATGCAGCTTCTTCTCACGTGTGTTTCCTTTTGCCTTATTTAATTGATTTGTTAATATTGCATTGTTATACAGTGGATTTGTGGAATAACACCGACTAATCTCTGTACTCAAACTTTCTGTTTCATGAAATATGTAACTACCCTTGTAGTTGAAATTTGTGATCCTTTGATTCAATTCGAATCGTTCTTAGATGATGAGTAGATTCTTTTCTTGATGTGAATTTTCCTGCAAATATGAATGGTTGATAAAAGATTGCATTCAAAACCCTAGGTTCTCTGTTGTAATAAATGGAACTTTGGAAGAAGTTAGGGGCAAGGGAACTTGGGCTCGGCAAGGCTATTTCTCCATATCTTTTTATCATAGTTATGGAGGAATTAGATTTTGTTCATAACCTTTAGTGTGTTGCTTCTTCTATATCTCACATATGTTTTGCTGATGATATATTTGTATTATGTGGAAGAATTTATGTGTGTTAAAACAGTCAAAAGGTGGACTGATGTAGTTTGAGAAATTGGCTGGACTGAGAGGTTCTGCAGAAAATTGCTAGGTTCGGTGCAGGAATGGATGATCAGTTTTGCATGACTCCCATGGAGGTCTTTGGTATTCCTGAAGGATACCTAGCTGTTAACTGCCTTGATGTTCCTCTTATATCTACCTGGCCAAAGGTAGCAGTCTGAACTTAGTTGTTGGACTGCAAGATGCTTACCACAAGAGGTAGATTAGAGTTAGAACAGCCAGTCCTGTGCAGTATACATGTTGTTTGGATCAGGGTACTTGTGTTTCCAACTTATATTGAGAGACTTTGAGAAAGTTGAAAGAAATTTTCTATTTTCAAGATCTCATAATGAAAAACACTGAGATAAGTTCAGTGGGATGAGCATGTACTCCCTTAAATTGAAGGGGTCTTGGTTATTAACAACTTGGTGGATAGGAATAAAGCATCCATGCTAAGACACCTACGTGTAGTTGTGGTAGCCCAAATCCAAGAGTCAAGACTCTAGGGCAAAGAGGGATGAGGTGACGTGAAGCTTGTGAGGGTACCAAGTCCATGTGCTTTGTCTTAACATCATTTGGCGAAGTGCGTATGCATTTTTATGAGTAGGAGATTTGAATCTTCACTGTACAGAATACTTTGAAGCCGTACAAACCTATCCAAAGTGGACATTATTCGTACACTAACCGATCCAGGTCATTACAATATGCAGGAAAGCTGATACATTAAAGCTGAAGTGGTGCCATGTTTACAAGCACAGAGGAGAAAATTTTTTGTTTGTATCTATTCCTCTGACTATTCATGGACTTGACGAAAGATTTTTAAGTTGAGGATGGTTTTGCTTGAATGTTAGATAGGGAAATGGGTTGCAGGTTTTTTTTTTCCATAACTGTCAACCTTTGGGGCATGGAGTTGTATCATATCAAAGCAGTGATATAGGACTTTGACTCGGAACGCTAATGTGACTGAGGATAATCTACAACAATTTTTTGACAATAGACAGTGCAGTTACACGGGAAATTCAAGAAGTTCAAATGAATACCCAATAGTTGTTGCTAATGATAGTCAAATTTTCAGAATTCAACAAACTCCATGACTGTGTTCCATAAGCTTGAATTTAGTAAGCTAAATTTTCCATTTTTTGGCTAGATCTGTTGATTCTTTAGATGCTTGCATTTATGCTGAGATCAGAACAAGGATCCCAGACACAATTTCATGGGATTACAACTTTGAACCTGCAGGAAGCACCCCTCTCAGTTTCACTGTTAAGGTATTTCTTTTCTCTATAAAGCAGCAATTACCCAGAGTGTTTGAAAACTAACGGCTCTTGTCAACATGTCATCTTTGGAATTTTTTCTCATCTATAGTGATGTATATGATTATTATCTATTTTCATTTTGCGCTCATCCTAGATAGAGAAGCACAAAAGGGGATTCATGTAGCTGATACTTGTTAGTTGGGATACAAGTCTTTGTTAAGTAGATATGAAAGTTGCTAACTATGTAGACATAAAATTCATTTTCCCCAGACACTACAAATTCCTTGTTGATCATAATCCTTACGGCCATGAAATCTATGCCCATGATTGCATTTTAATGTTTTGTGTCTGTCCAGCAATTTATATTGTTTTAGATCAAAACTAGGCTTTACATATTTACTTATGAAAGCTCAACTCTGAGACAGATCTTCTACTTTGAAGGTGTGTGGAATATGATGTGACAAACGAATGAAGGCCACTGTGTCATAGTGTTTATTCCCTGAATCACGAACTATGGACATTTAATTATTGAAGATGAAAATACGCAAAGTCTTTCCTTATTCAAAAAGCTAGAAATGCAATTCTATTCACTGTATTAATGAGCAATTGAGTATGGTTCTTTTACTCATACTTCCTTTTCCTTATAGGCCTTCAACCTTAAGGTTTTCCAATACGCATGTACTTTCAAACATTTTTTCCTTTTAATTTCTTTTGAATCGACATGTTATCAAACAATATACGTAAAAGGGCGATTTCTTCCACATGCTTCATTAATGGGCATCACCCTTTTTGTTCCTTGTTTATTGGCATGCCTATTTCCATTACCCGACTTTTCTTTCATGTGAGATGCTACTTCTGCAGCAGCAGCTTGTGTCTCACAATGACCAATCCCCGATAGATGCTGTGCAGTCGCTGGGCCTTTGCTTAGCTGGTAAAGGGTGCAATGAGGTTGAGCTAGGTCTTGTGTGAAAAACCTTGAAGTGCTAATCAATTTGTTTTCGAAAAGGATGAAACTTTTGAACACTTAGCATTTTTCTTTTGATTCTTGGAAACTATAAGCTGTATTTCAAGTACACTGCTTAGAGTATTGGCGACTGTCTATTCCAAAACAGTCTCATTCATACAACATGATGACAATGCTTACATATTATTTGTTTTCCAACATTTGTTAATAGACGCTATATTTACTATGGGGCATATCTAACTTTCGTCATCATGGTATTCAATCCCCAGTCTGCAGCTCTGAAGGAAGCTATTGACGATCTTGAGTGGCCAGGATCAAGCATCCAGATAATCCTACAACCAGTTCCCCCATCTGTTACCTTTAGGGGCGAAGGCCATGGAGACTTACAGGTAGCATTTGTCGTTTTTACTTACAAGCATTTGATGCTAGGATTTGATCTTATTTACCGTTTGGGACCTTGTCTTTGCTTGCAGATAGACTTCATGTATTATGCGAACACTGAACTTTTGATTGCATTCCATTGTGATCGCCGGGTCTCTTACAGGTTGTCTGTCTATACCCTCTGACTAATACCGCAAAAAACACAATGTTGACTGCCGTACTCTTCACTGATTTGGTTCTCGTCTTGATGTGGACAGGTACAAATACAAGTTCCTCCGGGCAACAACTTCGAACATACCTGCCAGTGTCATCAAAGATAATAGAGGAAGCAAGTTGACCATTGGGAGAGGTGGAATGTTAAAAGTTCAACATCTAGTTTCTGTTGCAAGACCGTCTACTTCACATCCTCATATTGATTCTGCCGGCTATCAACTGCCCAGCCGTATTGCTTATATTGAGTTCTTTGTCAAACCAGAGGTCGATGAAGACACTGTAAATGATTCATAGATATGGGGGTGTTTTGTTGCATGCTTTGAGACTGCCTGTGCTTTTTCAGTTTGTGGACTTGCCTAAGGTTGTGAAAACGTGTATCAAAAAACGTATCATTTTTCAAAAATAGTATCGTATATTGTAAGATATCGTGTGTAGTAAAATATATATAGCTTTATAAAAGATATTAAAAAATATATATACCTATGATAAAATGTCATAATAACATTTTATTGTACCACAAATTTCTCATATAAAACAATTTAAAGAGACTGGAAGGAGCAAAATAAAAAATTAATAATCTAAGTCTTGAAATTTTTAACATAATTCATCATTATTAAAATTTAGAGTTCAAGTTCTAACATTTAATGTAGTTAGAGGATGACATTTTTAACCATCAAATTATTTGTTCTTAAAATAGAATAAATAAAAAAGAAGACTTTAAGTAAAAATGTATTGTTTTTTGATTAAAATACAAACAAAAAAAAATTTAATCTATTTTCCTCTAGTATTGATCTGTATCAAACAATTTAAATACGATACACCCAATGCAATATTTTCTTCAACAATTATATCGTACAATACTATCAAAAGTATTCGGAGTACCGCTGAACTTATTAAGTCAATGAAAAGAAGTGTTGCTAAGGAAAAAAAAGGAACTCAGGATGGGGATTTTGAACCCGACGTGAATCGAACACGCAACCTTCTGATCTGGAGTCAGACGCGCTACCATTGCGCCACGGATCCCTTTTGATTCTGAAACCTGTAAGTTAATTGAACACTTAGTTTATTTGCTGAGATCTGTTTAAAAGTCTATGTTACCCTTAGAAAAATAACAAAAAGATCTTTAATGAAAGCAGTAATTATACACTCGAATTCTGTAATTATATCTTTACTGTTGTTTCTTTGGACTAGTGTGATTAACTGATCGCCCATTACTACTTTTTCACTATTTCTCCAAAGCATTATGCTTGCTTTTGGCAACCCTATTTCTGAGCGATAATCACATGCAGACCACTTTTGTGCATTATCTTATCTTTATCATATGATGTGGTATAATCACAATCATTGAATATTTAATAAATTCAATCAAGCTTATTTATTTGGAGTTTGGTGGTTCACCATTACACTAGCCTAGTTAAGTTCGTTCTTGAAAGATGTAACGGGTGTAATCAAAGGTCTCATGATCCCACCAGTAAGTGTCTATCAAAATGGTCTCTAGCCGTTCTTTTTTGTCACCATCCCTTGTTTTTGCCAAGCAAAAAAAAAAAAAAAAACAAACTTCAATTTTTTTTCTTAATCAATAATAATATAGATGCATATGTATATTTTCCCCATATTTGATATTTAAACACTCATTAGATATAGTGGTAAGGTTGGGCCTAAGCAAAGCAATGAGGAATCAGAGGTTTTAGTTGGGAAAAATTCTCTGCATTCCGGATTAAGTTGTATATATTTGACTCTCTTTAAATATTGTGGTAACAAGAGTTTTTATACACTGAATCAACTTTTTTATATATTAAACACAAAAAATATTAAAAGTTGATTTATGGTACAGACAAACAATGAGATTAATTATAACTTTTACATTAAAAGTGAGATTTACAATTAACTCCGAGATAATTTTTATTCTAAAATAATGACACACTGACTTTATTAAAAATACCATTGAAAATATTTTTATTTTAATGTACAACTAAGCTATGATTTGATCATCCATTTTTTTTTTTTGATAGTTACACAATAGATTATTCACAAATGTGCTATCTATTGCAACTTGTACGAAAAAGATTAGCCGCAGGAGAGAGAAAGGGAAAGGGGTGTACATGCTACTCTCCAGTCGTTATACATGGAAGGAAGAAATGTTGTATCCAGACTTTTCAATCGTGTCGGGTAAAATAAATTTACATTAGATTTTAATGGATTCGTTTCAAAAAATATTATTCTCATACCTGATTCATTAGTGTCTAATGAATCATATTACATTAGAGGTTCATGTCGTATATCGATTATATAAAAATAATATATAAACAAATTATTTCGTATATTTCTTTTGATTGACTTTATTCATAATCGATTCGTTTATTAATTATATCGCATCGGATACACTCGTTTACGAAACATGTGACTTACCATAATACCCTGTTCCACATCAACAAAAAAAATGAAAATGCTACTGTTGGAACCGTGTATTTGTTTTCCATATATGATTGAGAAAATATTATACAGAAAAATACGCCAGAAATTCCATCACCTCTACATTAATAACATTTCCACCCCAAATAAACTCAACCCCAACACCTCCTCCACATCATCTTCAACAGCTGCAGCATCAACAGTGAAATCTATTAGCTTGAACAGAGCTAGCTGCTCGTATCGAGTTTATTTGATGCAAATCTGTACAATAGAGTGATACCCAAATGGTAGATCGGAAATTAAAGCCACAATGTTAACCCAACATGTTTGAGCTAATGAAATTCTATGATCTGCTCTTGCTGGTCATCAATGTGGGGGTGACTGTAACAACTCCGATAAGGAACAAGGTTGCTATTGAGTGGAAGTCGTAGAGGTCCGCCACAGATCGCAGCTCACCAAGAGTTATTCCAGCCTATGAAAAAACCAGTCAAGTCAGAAGCTCCTTGGGCACTACGATAAATATTCAAACCTTCCCAAACAAAACATAATTAGGCATCCCTAACAATGTAAACATTTCCTGTGCTATTTGAAACACCCCAAGATGTTCTGGACATATGACTTGCAAAGAGAACCCATCTTTCTGTATCTTTATTTGAATTAAATCTTGACCTTAGAACTATCCCTGAAATCCAGTACCAAACTAACATTGATTTGAATAATTGGTAAAGTACCTCAGTGGCAAAGGGTGGGATCCTGGGGCTACTAAGGAGTTGGTGCCGTGCTTCAAATCCTATCATCATTACTCATCAATCAAAAGGAAAATGAAGTAAAATAACTTACCCGAACAGTGACATAAGCTGCAGGAATAATCCCGATGAACGTTGCCAAGAAGAAAATATGGTAAGGCACATCAACTATCGGTGAAGCAACATTAATAAAAGTATTTGGCAAGGTTGGTGTCACTCTTAGGAAAAGCATGTAATTCAACAGCCGCTCACGTCTTTTAGCCACCTGAGTAAGCATAAACATATAAATCCAATACTTTGCCTGATTCAAGAAAGATGACTACATAAATGAGAAGACATTCACCTGGGCCTGGAAGAAAATCAGCTTGTCAGGCCAGAGAGAGAAGAGAAGGGGCCGCCCAATTAATTTGGAGAGGAAATAGCAAGAGGATGCACCGGCAGTAGCATTTAACACAACCAGAGCTACACCTTTGAAGACTCCAAAGAGGGACCCAGCAAGCAATGACATGAAAACAGTCCCCGGAATCATAAAAGTCTGCATGAAAATGTAGACCATGCAATACCACACGAGGACCTGTAACGTGTAGTCGCTCGTGTAGCTCTCCAGGTGATCTCTATAGAAAACACCCAAATTTTGTTGTTATTTTCATAAATCATATTTCAAAATAAAAATAAACAGGCTTAAAGAGCCACATGAAATGGAGTAGATGAATTGCATTCACTTGAGTTACCAGGTCAATGTATAGATAGGTTTTTTGTTTTTCAAATTCACCTGACAGCTATGAGCGTAGTAAAGAATGCAGTCACCATGCTCTTACAAAATGTCATAACGTTTGAGATAAAATTGTATCAGAATTAAAAAACTCAACAGGACCATACTGACGTAAATGTGTAACATCCAATTTAGCTTTAAACATTCCAATCTTGGGAATTTGAAAAACATAATATCTAGGTGAACCAAATGAATACACCAAACTTCATGATTCATTATCCACAATTTGATTTCCTACCCAATTCATTACCATTTAGCCACCAACCTTCTTCCATTCAAATGGTGCATAATTCTCCAATTTTAATAGCTCATAGAATAGATAAACTCCACTCTAAAAGGCAAACCTTAATCATGTAGAAATTCTCCTACATTGTAACAGGGATAAACAGGGAGTCATTCTAGTAGGAACACATGCTATATCAAGAGAACAAATCAAGAAAGACATAGCAAGTAGACCTTTATTTAGTCTTATTTACTAAACCAACTCTCTAAAGAGTAAAGCCCCTCCAAAAAGAATATTGAGTAGAAATACAACAAATCCCTGGTTTGAAATTGACGCACAGAAATCTACTGGGGTTCGCAAAACCTTTCTAACAACTTAGACTTGAATCACTCTGCTCTGTCCCATGCTATGTTTCCAGTTAGCACATATGTTGTTATATCTTTTCTCAGCAACACAAACAGATGTTCTCTTTTGAACTTTCATTCATGCCTTCTGGATATCTTAACTAAAACTAAAAGCATTTCATCTCACAATCCTAGAATGGGTATCCAAAGCACATGCCTGAATCAACTAAACCCTTTTACCGTTTCCCAGTAAAGCATCATAACAGGTTTTATACAATGTCCCCAGTAATGGATGCGTCTTAACATGTTCTATGCCATGATTCTGAACCAACTTCTTATGGATGCCTATGCGCTAGTTTATTCTTATGAGTCAACTTTTTTTTTTGAAGAAAATGGATTTAAAAATCATAAAATTCAAATGGGTTAAATCCGAACTCTTCTAATGACACCGACTAATAAAAATAGTGGAAATTTTACTTAATTTGAAAAAAAAAATCACAATAATTAAGCTCCAAACAGCTTCCAGACCTCAAGGTATAGGATTTCAGCAACCCATCACTAACTCAACTCAACTCAACAAAGACTTGTCCAACGTTTTTGGGGTCCTGTTCCGCCATTGAGTACCCATCACTAACTAGGCTGCCAAAATTTAACACCTTTGCCTAAAGATCTAACCCAAATCTTTATTTCTGTATCTCAACCAAACTCATCCTGTTCTAGCTTTAAACCACAAAAGCCTCCAGCTAAATAATTGGAGTCAACAACAAGAATATTAAGCCATTGTTCCAACACATTGCATATAAAGAATATTCCAACAGGAATGATTTCTCTTCAGAAACACTCAACCGAGAAAGGACTCATAATGTAA